CAACTTAGACATTGGCTACCTAAAATGAGGGGGCGATAAAGTCACAAAGTGACTGGTTTACAAGGTTTCAAGAGGGAGTTTAAGAGTATGGGGGCAAGAAAGCATTCCCACTGAATAGTTTTCATCTTGTCTAGATGAGTTTGGTGAAAAGAGATGGGGATAAGGTTCGTATGATTCAATAATGAATAATTATTATCATGACGAATTGCGACTCTCACAATTGTAGAGGTAGAAGGTTTGTAACAAAAATAGGGGAGTGGTTAATCTTATAGTCCAGAAACAGAGGACCCCAGGACCATCAAGGGAGAAGAGAGCACATACAAAATGCGGGGCCTTATCCAGAGAAGCAGCGATGTCAGAGACTAGAGACAGAGGGAGAGATGGTGTCATGGAGATGGGAAGTGGCTGAGGACTCTAGATTCATGGGAAGAGAGGGACTAAGAGCTGTTGGCCAGGAGGCAGACTTCCAGAATGTGCACTTTGGAGGTGTAAATTATTATATATGACTGAGTGTTTAAAAGAAAAGAGCTAAAATTAATAGAGAGAAGTACTGTTACGTGATGGTACATGAAGGGGATTATAATCATTGTAATGAAACAAGGTGTATGATTTGTTGAATGATCTGCCCTGTAAACTTTCACTCAATAGACTATAGAAATGATACCCTAAATTGAGAAAAATAAGGTTACTTTTAGAGACTATTAAGCGGAATTCATGAAATGTGTAAAAGTAAAATTGTATTCCATTGCAGCATGCCAATGAAGATGTGGAGAGAATGTTGCTAGGAAACAAGTGTGATATGGACGATAAAAGAGTGGTACCTAAAGGAAAAGGAGAACAGGTAAAAGACTATGAATAAAACTTATGTGATGCCTTTCTTTTTGAAGGTGGTATTACCCTTGGTTGCTTTTATATAGAGATGGTGGAATATGCTAAGCTGTTCATATATCTTGTTGGAACCAGTAACTTATCATCTGAATTAATTTTTTCAGTGTATATTCAATAGACATGGGAGAATCAGATTTATGGCAGTAGTATTTTTAGCCATATTTAAAGTACAAGTAGAGCGGTGGGTTTAATGTTGAGCTGCTAACCTCAAGGTTCAAACCCACTGGCCACTCCACAGAAGATGTGGCAGTGTGCTTCCATAAAGATGTACAGCCTCTGAAACCCTAGTTCTATTCTTCCTTTAGAGTTGCTATGAGTTGCAAAGGCGGTGGGTTTAGTTTGATTAGATTACAAAGAAGAGAAAATACAAATCAGTGGTTCTCACATTAATTTTAAAATTTTAAAGAAACATTTTAGTTAGTATGCTTCCAAATTTGGCAACAAGGAACATGTGACAAGCAGAAGTTAGAGACTGCTTAATTTACTTTGAGCTTCTTTTACATTTATCCACAGAGTATATTATCTGATTTAGAATACCTGTATTACATTTTTACTTTTACTTTTTTTTTTTTGCTCGAATTATGTAATCTTGGCCCATTGAAACAAGCTGTTTTATGTAATCAAGCAGACTTGCCTTAGAATAGTATTAGTATTTCCTGTAAGATACTAGTATCAGTTGGCAATCCGCTCTTGATAATTTTATGGTAATATTTTGCTTCTATTTTAGATTGCAAGGGAGCATGGTATTAGATTTTTTGAGACTAGTGCAAAAGCAAATATAAACATCGAAAAAGCATTTCTCACATTAGCTGAAGATATCCTTCGAAAGGTAAGTTCCTAATCTTACTTAACTGCTTAATACCTGAGTGGTTAAGTTGAATATTCAGTCTCTTCTAAACTACTTGACTTAAAAAAAAAAATTGTATGGAATAATAATGTTACTAAAAGCTGAGTGATTATCAATATCTAATTCTCCAAAGTGAATCGTAACGTTCGTTTTGAAATCTGCCTGATCTAGTTAGTAATCCATTTTCTGTCCTCTCACACTCACTCCCCAATTTCACATTCCTATTTCAGGCTTGTTATCTGCTCTTGATTTACATATTGTCCATCAAGGGATTAGATATAATCAGATTTGGTAATGTGTCCTTTTTTGTTTAATCTATGTATTTTAAATGTAAATAAATTTAAAATGTGACACAAATGCTAAAGAATAAGTAAACATTGTATAGGAGAAATTTGCATTACTCTGGCAACCTTCCTATTTTTATATTTAAAATGTCAGTATATTTTTAAAAACCAGCTCATAGATTAAAAAAAAAACAAAGCAAATTGGAATTTTTAGAGTGAAATATAGATATCTACTAACTATAATTGATTGTTCAAAACTGAAAAAAGTCACCAGTGATTACTATTAAAAGTCACTGTAGAACAAAAATTGTGCCGGCCAGCATCCTGTATGTTTTGGAAAATGCTACGTTAGTCAGTAAAGTTTTCCATGAGATTTCATTCAGATCAAAAATGAAATTTAATCACAGAGAATGAGAGCGACTATATTTCCAACATAGTGGGAAAAAAGCAACTTAGAATATGATGTTAGTGGTATGATCTCCTGATTAAAAATTATATACAATACTACATGCATGTGAGCCCTGGTGTGGAGCTGTCAGATAAGCACTGGACTGCTAGCCACAGGGTCAGCAGTTCAACCCTATCCTCCTCTCTTGGAAACCCCACATGGGATTACTATGAACCAACTCGGCAACACACAACAGTAGCAGCAACAACCACATGCGCATGTGTATACAAACACATGTGAGCACACACATTATGAGTTTGCATGCTGCAAAGTTATATATTAAAATATCAGAGATAAATTTGCCTTACATTTAACCAGTGATTATCATAACTACAGTGCCACACCAGGATGGGTAAATGCCAGCTGAAGGTTTGAAACCACCCAGAGATGCCTTGGAAGATAGGCCTGACGATCTGTCAGAAAGGTCACAGCCTTGAAAGTACTATGGAGAAGTTCTACAGACTCCATAGTAACTAACAACATCTTTGACACACTGTAGAATGGATAAATCTCACAGAGTGATAGTGAGTAAAATAAGTTAAACACAAGATAATGCATACATAATTCATTGAGATAAAAGTCAAAAGTGGGAGAAAACAAATCTATGATAATAGAAATGAAAATAGTGGTTAGCTTTGAAGGTACGATTATTGACTGAAGGCTCCCTCTTCAGGCCTTGATAATGTTCTATGTCTTCATCAGGTAGTTTCATAGGATGTACTAAAATTTCATCAGGATGTATACTTAGGATTTTCACTCTTTATGTAAGTTACCACTAAGAAAAAAATACGTTAGTGCATACACTATTGGACTGACCATTTAAAAGGGTATGCTCCAATTTTAAAAGTAATATCTTTAAATATTGGGAAAATATAGGTTAATACAGTGAAACAAAATCACCCATAAACCTACCTAAGGGGTTCTGAGTTATTACTCTTAAATTTTTGGTGTATATTCTTTTGATTTTTCTAAATTAATTTTTAACATGAATTACACAGTTTGCATTTAGCCTTCTTCCACTCCTCCCTCTTAATGTTAATCAAAATCGGAATTGCCTTTTAAAGCTATGGTATAATAATTTAAAAAAACTCGCCACAAATGGCAATTTCCTAAATTCTGAAAAGACCTGCTTTATTTCACTAATGTAAAGTTAGACATGACCCGACACTGGCTGAATACGGTTGGCTAATATTTTTTCCCCATTTAAAAGTACCCAGAGGTCAGGGCTGAGAGATACAAACCTCTATTTAAAAGAGAGCAGAGAAGATTTCAGGAAGTCTAAAGGGATCCTGGGAGGCCTCCAGACATTCACAGCTTAGAAGAAAAAGGCAAAATAAAGCTCAAAAAGGAAACTTCCTAATCTTTATCTTGTACGAGGAGAGAACTTACGTCAGGTGACTAATGCATTTTGTTGCATCCGTTGACATTTTATTAGGATACCTTGTTGAATCTTGATTTATCCATGCCAACATTTTTTACGGGTGCTTTGCTTGTGTGTTTGTTCCAGACCCCTGTAAAAGAGCCCAACAGTGAAAATGTAGATATCAGCAGTGGAGGCGGCGTGACAGGCTGGAAGAGCAAATGTTGCTGAACGTCTTCCTGTTCCATCAAATGCCATCCACTACCCCGTTTTCTCTTGCTGCAAAATAAACCACTCTGTCCATTTTTAACCCTAAACAGATATTTTTGTTCCTCATCTTAACTATCCAATCCACCTATTTTATTTGTTCTTTCATCTGTGACTGCTTGCTGACTTTATAATTTCCTTGAAACAAACAAAATGTATAGAAAAATCATGTCTGTGACTTCATTTTTAAATGTACTTGCTCAGCTCACCACTGCATTTCAGTTGTATTATAGTCTGGTTCTTCTTATCAACATTAAAACCTATAGCAATCATTTCAACTCTATTCTGCAAATTATATAAGAATAAAAGTTAGAATTAACAATTTTCTTTTGTACAACAGTGGAATTTTCTGTCATGGATAATGTGCTTGAGTCCCAATAATCTATAGACATGCAATAGCAAAAGAAACCAACAAAAAGCCAGGAAAAACTCATTTCGCCTTGAGTATGTAAATGGGGTTAATTTTGTCCTGTGCCTTATATGAAAAGGAACTTCTTTGATTTTTCCTTTTTTGTTTTGGTGGAAGCATGTGCAGGAGACATATCATCCAAACATAAACCATGAAAATGTTGTGGTTTGCTTGGCTCTTAAGTTTCCAAGTAATTCATTGAGGACAAAGGATAATGCAGAAATGATCACTTTGGTTTGCTGAGAATTATTTTAAGTGGCCTTGATAGTTAAACTATTCCTGCCCACCATTTCTTCTCCTTGGCCACTTTTTCCTTGTTTCTCTTCTTCCTGCATGCTGCTTTTTTGCTTCTCTCTCTCCCACCAACCCTTGGTTGAGTTATTTAAAAACAAAAGGGGCAAACTAGTATGTTTGTCTGTTTTAACACAAAGCACTGATTTAGCTTGCTTGTAAGTAAACTGAAAGGTAAATTCTGTCTACTATCAATTAGTGTCTTCCCCTGATTTGTTTTCTCTCCTATACCTTATGTCTTTGGATTCCTTCATTTACTGTTTTCCTTCTGTGTTCTTCACCTTTCCTCTTTGCTCCCCTCCTGTCTGTCCACTGAGTTTATGAAATGGAAGAGTTCATTGCATGCACTAGTGTTTGGAGGGTGTTGTGGTTTGTCTTTCTAATTAGATATGTAGCCTATTCACTTTCCTGGAATATAAATCTCTCCATCTGAATTTGAGTAGTCTCCATTTTGGCAACTCCTCTTGCAGTTTGGTAGCCCAGTAAAGGTTATTGGGGTGGGGGCGGGGAAGGGTGACAGGGAAAGAGGAGTGAAATTTATAAACATGTTTGCCAAATATATTAAGATTTGGCCTCTGAAGAACACTTTTTCAGTGTTAAGTTGTCTTTACCTTAAGATTTATCCTAAATCTTTACCTTAAGGTTTAGAAATATTTTAGAATATTATTCATTTTAAGTCCTAATTTCACATCCATTTTTTTTTTTTTTTAACCATGGATTTGAAAAAAGGACAGCAAAAGGCTTTTCATGTAAAGATAAGATCTCCAGCTTTCTCTAACCCTTTTTTTTTCTTTTCATTTTTCTCATTTTGTTTCATTGCTTATCATTAGGAATAGGGTAAATTAAGTTTGCTATGCTGCTAGCATCCTAACATGATACCTTTCTTGAAATAATTGTGAATAGCATGATTCATTTCTAGCAGAGGCTGAGTTTAGGACAGCAGCTTCCATTGAAAAGTCTGTGTCGTGGATAGCATTTTAATGCCCTCTTGACTCACATAAACAGCATAGGGACATATCTGCTATGAAAATCCATGAATTTTCAGATGGTGTCCTAAAAAACAATTTTATATGCCTCACTGGTTGTTGTTCTTAGGTTTTTCCCTCACTTGACTTTATCATTGTTTACTACTAGTAAAAGCAGCATTGCCAAATAATCCCTAACTTTCCACTAAAAATAATATTGAAATGATGTTAAGCTTCTCAAGTTTAAAGTTAAACCTACTGTTGTTAGACTCATGTATTTGTTTCTTCCTCTTATCTGGAATGTGGCAGTAGCTTTTTAAATTTTTAACTCTCTTTAATCCTTGTTAAAATTTAGTGACTTAAGGTTTGAGAGCTAAACACTGGGATTTTTGGATAACCGACTGACAGTTTTGTTGTTTGCATAACTGATTGGCATTGTATATAGAAAGGATATGGCTACCTTTTGTTAAATCTGCACTTTCTAAATATCAAAAAAGGGAAATGGAGTATAAATCAATTTTTGTATAATCTGTTTGAAACATGAGTTTTATTTGCCTAATATTAGGGCTTTGCCCTTTTTCTGTAAGTCTCTTGGGATCCTGTGTAGAAGCTGTTATCATTAAACACAGTTAAGTCCATTCTCTGGTACTAGCTACAAATTCGGTTTCATATTCTACTTAACAATTTAAATAAACTGAAATATTTCTAGATGGCCTACTTCTGTTCATATAAAAACAAAACTTGATTTCCAACTGTGTGGCTTGGTTTTCATTTATTTATGGAGTTGAAGATGGACTATTATTTCTGTAAATAACACAAAATACAGCAAACTAAATATTAGGGGAGGGAGGAGTCGAAGGGAAATAACTTCAGCAGACTGTGAAAAACTGGGAAAGCATTTTCAAAAATTACCTTTGTTAAATGAGTTAAAAAAAAAAAAAAAAAGATGATGTCAAAACAATAGCTATCAGGATCCTAGTCAACTCCCAAGTTGTGCCAAGTAGAACGAGGTCAACAGGTGACACACAGCACAAGGCAGGTTCACCAGATGGGAATGGAAAGCCTTGGTTTAGCAGTGGCTGCCATATAAAGAATTCCCAGTTTTTCTGTGAACCATAGCAACAACTTTGGTATTAAGTCTTGGCAGAAAAAATAATAATCATGTGTTAAGGCCATTGCAGAAAATATTTGTTGACAAGATCAGCTCTACTGTGGAAGAATGATAATGTGTGACTTTCTTAACATTCTTTTGGCTCACCCCTTACCCCACCTCCATTGTATTTCTGATTTCTGTCTAGCTGGAGTGGGACCTAGGAATCTGTCTTTGATATGGATATAGGAAAAAGGACACCTCTATCCTTAAATGTATGTGATCTAGTTTAGAAAGTAAAAGTAATACAATCTAAGCATATACAAGAGACAAATGATAACCATGAGCTGGATTTGAGGTGCTGTATTAATGGTTGGATTTTTGTTTTGTTTTAGAGTAACGTAATGTTTTATTCAAGACCTTACTGTATTAGAATTCGATTGTAAAGACTTTGATTATTATTGTTAGGTCTAATTATTTGGTATTCTGTCAATGATACCAAAACTAATCCTGAATTCAGAGGTTAAATAAATAAATGAATGAATAAACAAATTACTTTTGTTAGAAAAGATGTTCTAACAGATTTATAAAAAATAATGATTGTTTTGAAAATGACTATTATTTTTTTTAATTTCTTTTTCTTAAATGTTTTATTGTGAATTACGTGATAGTTTACATGGGAGAACATTA